ACGCTTTGGCATGGCAAAAGTTTGTCGACGAAGAGCAGGTTTCATCAGGAAAACTATTCAAGTGGTTGTGGGAGCTTCCCTCATCCACCCACCCAATCAGAATGGAGTCATAAAATCCTGATTCTTAAACTGTCTGTGGCTTCCTAGGGTGAAAAAAAAAGCTATTTGGGGAAATACCGTAGTAAGGCACTTGTGAATTTTGTGTTAAGTTGACCTTGCCTTGTCCCTGACCAGGGAGTATTTTGACTATTCAACAGTAGTTATTTTTAGTGTTTAGAAATAATAATTATAGTATGTCAATAGTCAGTCAAAGTAAATACCTGCTCTGAGTTTGGACTAAAGGTCAGGGAAATGGAAAATAAACGTGGGCTTCTGTTCCTTAAAGGTGTGAAGTACTGAAATGCTACTGAAATTTGGGGAGGTTGGAGGTTGGCAAAACAAAGCCATGAAAAAGGCAAAGGAATAGCCAGTGTTTGGGGATGCTATTCGCTGCAGACAGCCCTTTATTTATGTATGCCTTTCTGTTCCAGCAGGGTTGTAGCAACCACTCTACACCTCTCTCCAGGTCTCTTCTCATACACGCGCAATTATTATTACCTGTTGACCCCACCTATACGCCCACATTGGGACCCGATGCCCAAACATGCATACAAACTCACTCACATCTCACAGGGAAGGAGAGAGGGAGAGAGAAGGAAGACTGAGTGGAAAAATACCAAGATTTGTGCTTGATTATTGGAGATAATTAAGTAGAACCTAAAAATAGTCAGGCCCTTATTTCATATTATGTTCAAAATGATTCAAATTCAAAACTATTCACAGCTGTGCCGGGCGCTGATCTACCATACAAAGTTGATTTCAAGCACTTGAATCAATGATAAGCAAATGAAGCATCTCTCTTTTCTTCTAAGTATAACTTGGGGAGGTACCGTGACTCAGAAGCTATTGAATGTGAAATAAAGAGATCAATAATATCATTACCCCCATGACACTCATCGTTTATTCTGCCAATACTTTTCAATAGAGTGGAGCAGTATGGCCCACAGGTCATGTCAGTTTTGTAAGTCTCTCCCTACAAAGTTGTTGATAGTCTTTAAAACTCAACTCCTTATATGTATCGATTAAGCAGACTGGCGGTTTACTGTTTTATTGATTTATCTATTGAGAATCCCAAGTACGTAACAATGCAAAAACACAGGCTGAAAAGTAAGAGATGGTGGAAAATAGGCTGTATTTCTTTAAAAGCGTGTATGCAAGGACTTACCCTGCTACTAGAAAGATCCTTCAAGGGTGAGAAATAAATCTTAATCCTGTACTATAAATAATACCAACAATCCCACTGCTATGAGGTGACTAGTATCACTAGCATTACCGGACAGGCATAGAAAAAACCACCAGCCTCCCCCTTCTGGTTTTGTTCACGTTTCTATTTTTTTTTTAATAGAATATGAAAAAAAGTTAGGTATCATTTGTGACCCAGCTCAGAGGCCATTCTTTTCATGAAAACTTCCCCGATTCTTCCAACATTGCTTGACATCTTTTCTGAATATAGACAGCAAGCATGGCAATTCGGCTTCCCCTGTATCATTCTCCGTAAGAGATCAGTCTGTGTCACCAAAGAGTCTTAACGTGGCCACAAACAGAACATAGAGTATAATAGAGTTAAAATGGCTTTTTGGTCTTTTTTTTCCAGTCGGCTGGATTCTTTGAGGGCTGGGGCTGTGCCATTTGTTTTTATATCAATCACACCTAGCATAGGGCTCTGCTACAGAGCAGGCATTCACTCTTTTTTATCCAACAAATATCCATTGACTGCTTAGTATGTGCCAAGTGTGGTGGTCCATGCTGCCAGGAAGGAATGTGTAATAGCCTTTGAGCACAGGCATCGTTGCTAAACTTACCCTTGTTTTTGGCAGCCTTTACTGTATTTGTCAGCACCTGGAAGGAAGGACATGCTACCTTGTATTTATTTTTTTAATACCCAGCAGGGCTTTGCACTAAATGTTATTGCATAAATTCAGTATGTTCATAAAGCCAAAAGAGATCACAACTGTCCAGTATAGAGGCTGCTGTTTTATCATTTTTGTATTGTTTAACTCTTTACAAGTTTTCCTTGGTCAGATTTTTGTCATATGTTTCGAGAAATTTGCATCAGCTTTCCTTACAATTTTGGTTCAAATCAAAAGTCTCTGATGAGGCTGTTCTTAAAATTTTGTTTCATCAACAAGGAAATGTTGCTGCTTAGTAGAAAAGATTTAATATGGATCACTACATCAAAAACTAACGATGTACGGTATGGTGACTAACAAAACATAATAAAAAAAGTTTATAAATGTGGATACAATGAAGCAACAAGGGAAGAAATGAGGAGCTTTTTGGAATTAAGCCCTTCATATTCGAACGGGCACTATTAAGAGCTCTTTCCTGCATATCAAGAGATTTGTCTATTTTTCAGTCCTTGTCATGATTATTGCCCTCAGTGACTTCCTGTGGATATGGATCAGAAACTTGAGACACTGAAGAATTCTTCTTAAGAAGTGTATTTTAAGATAGCCACTTTGGCATTATGTATCAAAAACCTTCAAACCCTGCCCTTAAATCCAGCAATTTCACTTTTACGTATTTATCTTTGAGAAATAATTGAGGCTATCTGCAAAGATTTAGTTCTTAACATAATTTGATAACTTATAATTTTAAAAATAGGGAATTAATGGAAAAGAAAAAGATAATCCTTGTTGGTAAATTATGCAGTTGTTAGAAACGATGTAGAAACTATATACACATAGTTACGGATATATGTTTATGGTATGTTGTCAAAAAAAGGAGGTTATAAAACAGTATCCATATTTTAATTCTATTTTAATGTAATATATACTAAAATGTGAAAGAAGTCTATAATAATAAGTAATAAAATATAGTCACTAATTATTTCTCAGTGGCAGGATTTTTATTGTTTCTGTCAGGAAGACATTTTTTATTTTCTTTGTGTGTTTTTGTGCTTTTCATTTTATCTTGAATAGCAGATGTAATAGAGAATAAAAAGGTAATATTTTAAATTTTCCAAATATGTAGAAGTCTTAAAAACACAATATTTGAGGGGATCTTATATTATGTGTTTCATCCATGTAAAATAAGACTATGATTTTCCATGGAAACTTAACCAGCAGTATATACTGCCTAGTCCAATTGAGAAACCGGTAAAAATAAGATAGATCCCAAGCATGGTAATTACATACTAAATTCTTTAGTCATATACTTTTGGAGTGCTTTCTATTCTTCAGTCTCATCTCCATATTCCTTGTTCTCATGCAGCTTGCCCTCCAGTTGGGATGACAGAGAAGAAAAATAACAACAATTCATGTGAACGAATAAAGTTTCAATTGGCTATAGCGAAAAATAACACAGAGTGAAGAGGGAGGGATAGGGAAAGTCTGTTGGTGAGGAAGGTGATGTGAGTTTTAGAAGTGATGCTTGAACGTGGTCCTGAGTGAAGAGGATGAGTCATATGAAGACCTGAGGGAACGACAAGGCAAGGGAACAGCAAATGCCAGCGTGGCATGTCTAAGAAATAGTGGATCAATGCTATCAGACTTGGGCAAGTAGGGGAAGAGTAGAGAGGTGTGGAGGTACCAAACCAGGGCACCTTGTCTCATACTCATTAAAAAAAATGTTGAACTTGTTTTAATTGCTATGAAGGCTCATCAGAATTTTAAAGAGGGAAGTAAAGTGATAAAAAGATACAAAGATCAGTATGGCGGCTGTATGGCAAATAGACCATGTGGAGGCGAGGAGGCAGTTCATTGGAGAATTCTAGCTAGATTATAGCTTGGGTGAGGGTGTGGGGTGGAGGTGGTGTCCGTGATCAGCTTTGAAATATATTTTGAGGGTGAAGCAGATAGAACTTGCTGATGGATTGGGTAAAAAGGGTGAGGAAGAAGAGAAGAATCAAGGATGCTTTTTAGCTTGATCATTATCAGGAAATGCAAATTAAAAACACATTGAGATCCTACTCATGGCTCGAATTAAGAAGACCAATGATGCCAAATTTTGGAGATTTGGAGCAATCAACACAAATACATTGCTGTAGGAATGACTGTGAGTTGGTACGACCACTTTGGAAAATACTTTGGCATCATCCACTAAAGTTCAACGTGCCTGTATGTCATGGCTCAGTGATTTCACTCTTAGGTCTTAACTCAAGAGAAATATGTGTACATGTGTAAAGGCATATAAAAACCATTCATAGTATCATCATTCATAATACCCTTAAACCAAGAACAAACCAGGCATCCATGAACAACAGTAGAATGGATAAACAAACTGAGGTTTATTCTTACAATGGATTATTTTAGAGTGATGAAAATGAGTTACAGCTATGTGCATAATGCTGAATGAAAAAAAACCACAGAAACACACAGACGTGCACATGCACAGTTAGAATGGAAAATAAAGCAGCTTGGTTGACTGCTTCTGTTTTTTCACTCAAATAAGAAGTGAGGCCAGCAGTGCAGGGTGCAAGATGCAGAGCGTTGCAAAGTTGAGAATGCAGTGAGCTTGGGGGCAGGACGGTGAATGTCAAGGAGAAATCAGGTAGGATTGCTGGACACTGCTATATGGCCACTTGAGCTCTGTGGTCATACACTGAAGGACGACATATCAATTGTCAAATTTGGCCGCTTGTATATCTTTCACATGACACAATCACCATGATCTAAAGCCTGTGCATTTGTCCCATACAGTGGTCTTTCTGGCTTTAACAAGCTCTGTTATCATTTCTCAGCTGGAAGCAGGCATAAGTAACAAAGCAGAATGGGGAGTGGGTTACCTCTTGTCTGAGAGGTGGGGCTGGGACTGCGGAGATTTCCCCGACCGCCTGACCAGCTGGTTTCCCATTAAGTTCTGCTGAGAGGTAGCACTGGCAGCATGTTGGAAGGTAGGAGGAGAGGTGAGGAGACTTTTTTCTGGATTCCAGCTCAGATCAGCATCCTATCCTCACTGGCCTGTAAAGCTTCCTGTCTCCTGTCCCCAGCTTCTCTTGGCCTGCAGCCGCACAGCCTCACCACGTCCAGGGGGCCTTGCTCCATCTCTGCTGGCCAGCTTCCCGGGGGTAGCCTCAGCAGCTCTTATGCCCTGTCCCTTTGTCACCCACACCCACCAGACTGTGCCCTACCCAGAGATCTGAGCACTTACTCCTTCATTCCTCTGGCCTTAGGGAAGTGTGTGTGTGGGGGGGAAGCTTCTCCCTTTAATAGCGAATCTCTTACTTTGATGACATCTGCTTTTTGTCCTCTCAGCATCCCAGCACCCACTGGAGTAGATCTCCTGATTTAAATCTCTTCTTTAGGAATATCTAACATGTTCTGCGTTCCTGATGAGGGATGATACTCTAATTGACATATCATCACAAAAAGCCAAAAAAAAAAAAAAAAGGAGCTAATGTCCAGAGATACAACACTAAACCCCACAGAGTGGTCTGGGGACATTGGAGGCAGGTGCATACATGTCTTGGCTACCCTGTGCAAAGGAGGGCTGGTGGCTACAGAGGGGCCAGGGTGCAGTCCTCACAACCCGCAGCCTCCAGGGCAGCACAAACCACCTCTGAGGGCCAGACCACGAGTGACAGGAGAGGGGTCCTGATGCTTTGATGCCACCTGATTGGGAAAGCACTGCTCTGGTCTGATCCACTGTTCCTGAAACCGGCAGCACTGATTTCAGAGAAACACCTCTTTTTTCCACATTCAGATTTCATCAGTTTATATGCTAGCTAATTAAACTGAGTGGTCACAAGAACATGGCAGTTAAAATGAATAGCTTCAGAAACCCAAAATGACTCTTGTGAAGCATTTGGCTCAACTAGAGGAGAAAACTGGTGCCCGTGGACTAAAAGTAACCTGCTTGGCATGAACGTTCACGGCACTAAGGGCATCGGGAAGAATATTCTACAGAAATGATGGGGTACTGCTTGCCCAAAGTTGGAGAGAAGAGCTTTTGCTTATCAGAATTAGGATGATGAGTCGCCTTCCTGGTGAGATGGTGGACCCTGAGACTGAATGAAGCGAGGGAAGGCAGAACTGATCAGAGATTCATTGTCAGGTAGAGTGACGGGCTAGATGCCCGGTAAGGCCTTTTCCAACAGAGTCTGTGATTGAGTCACAGTGCTGTATAATGAACGATGGGCTCAAGCAGAGGTTTGGTGGCCTCTCAATGGGGGAGGGTGAGCTAGATATCTAGGGTCTAAGGGTTCCTCTCATTTAAAGTATCCTATCTAGAAAATGGAACATTCTAGAATACACCCAGATAAATTAGGTGTTTCTAAATATGTTTTGTCACGTTGTTTATAATGTCACATTATGAACTTTTAATAAAAACATGAACTTTTTTTAGGACAAATTTTGCAGAGCTTCACACACCATCATGCACATAATAGACGTTTGATAAATGTGTTAATTAACGAATGAAAATAACAACTGCAAAGTAGACAGATCTAAAGGGATGTGGGACAGAGTCCCACTCACGGGCTGGCACTCTTGCCTTGAAGAAACCCAGGGGTGGAGCCAGGCACATGCAGAGACAGGTGTCTGGCAGAGGAGGAAGGTCTTGCCCTGGAGGCAGCTGGGTTTCCTCTCTGACCTGAACCATGCACAGGCAGCTGGGTGGGGCTCTACCTGCTTGACCGTGAGGTTGAGTGACTGGAAATCCCATGATTCAGGCCTCAAAAGTCCTCATTAGGTCATGGCAAATGAGGTGTTTTTCACACTTTGGGGATGTCTGAGTTCCCCAAGTTTGCTGGGCATAGTCCTGGATGTTTGAGGAGAGCCCCTTCACTTGTGACTTTCTCAGTGGTCTCACGGGAGGTAAGGCGGGAAGAGAACAATTATAAAACCTGTCCCACCCCCCTTCCTCTCTCTTTTCACAAAGTATTCAGTATAAACTGTTGGCAAAAGGGGCAACATGTGGGGTTTGGGATCTGAAGAAATCAGAATTGAAGTAGGTGTTGGTATTTTTCTTGCTCAACAAAGCTGTCCTGACACATGGCCCGTGGGAAGGCATTTGTTTGCCACTCACTCTGCACGACACAGCTAAGTACATGTTGAGTATAAAATGAGATTTTCTAGTAATGACAAGTAAATGTGGAAATTGGAAATGAATTACTGAAGCCAGCTGAAAAGTGGAAATATTTGGGTTCGCAGATTGGCACCCAACTTGCATCTAATGAAGGCCTGATTCTTTCTGGTTTACCTAGATGGTTCCTTATGAGGAATCACTGTTCCTTCATGTTCACTGGTGGGCATGCACACCTGGCCGTCAGAGCCAGGTGACTGAGCTGTACCAGCGTGGGCTGTGGCTTACACACACACACACACACACACACACACACACACACACACACACACTGGGAATACATGGTGTGCCATGATCCTGCACATCATTCCCCAGGCTGCTCCATGGAGCATGGAGCGTGGAGCATGGAGCATGGAGCCAGGTGCTGAGCAATGATGCATTGCTAAGGAAGGCCTGTGGACACTTGTTTGTACATGAATCAGTATCTTCTCCTCCAACCTTGGGAGGCTGGGTCTGCGCAACCAAAACCAAGTATTCAGAGAATCACACTCATAAAACTCGAAGTGACTTAGAGACCCTCTAGGAGCAGCTTGCTCATTTTACATCCAAAAGGCCAGGTAGGGTAATTTCTTTCTACAGAACATAGACAGTTATCCATTTACCTTTTCTCGTACCATTTAGATATAATCAAAGGCCCTGGATGGGTTTGAGATGTTGCTTGAAAATAGGATAGACAGGCCTCAGACCACATCTTAATATCTTTAACACCGAGAACAGTGTCCTCAAATTAAGACGAACAGGTGCACCGTTGCCCATCTTAGTTTCTCCCTCCCTCTCTCTCTCCCCCCCTCTTCCTTTCCTTCCTTCCTGCATTTCTCCACCGCCCCCCACCCCTCTGCCACCCGGCGTCTGCCTCTTCTGTCTGTCTCTTCCTCTTCTGGCAGGGATATGGAATTGGAATGGAAAATCATAATGAGGTGTATACCGGAAACTTCTGCACTTGTACCATCTTAGATATGCATGTACAATTGCATCCTCTTGAATGTTTCTTAACTTCAGAGATAGATATTCCTAGGAAAACTCCAGATCCAATGAAGAGCAGCAGTTGGGTCTAAGGTAACAATGTGGAGCGAAAAGACTGGATGTTCATGTCCAAGTTTCTGCCTTATTCTGATTCCTGGTCTCAGGGCAGGAACCAAACTGTCCTTCCTGGGATAGTGCCAACTGAGAAACCATGACACCTTACTTGCATGGTTCACCACTGAGCCTGTCAGACTCCAGTCCAATATGGTACCTCTGACTTAATTATTCAATAAGTAAGGAATGCTGAGAAAGGATTTTCACAGCTAACATTGTTTTAAGGCGATGCCAACTTCCTTCCATAAGGAGAATGAAATTTTTAAGCATCTGTTTTAAAATGTCACATCTCTTCTTTGATTTTCTTACTTGAGTGTTTAAAAGAGTGTCCTTCAGAGAGTAATAGATGACTGAAATTGGGATAAAAAGGCATTATTGTTATCTTAAAAACTAATAATTCTAGACAGGCATATACAAGAATGACTTGCAGACTTAGGACCACTCTTTACCTGCTAAATAAGAATATTTTACAGTGTTTATTTATTCATTTTAAAGATTTTTATTTATTTATTCATGAGAGACAGAGAGAGAGAGAGAGAGAGGCAGAGGGAGAAGCAGGCTCCCAAGGAGCAGGGAGCCCGATGCGGGACTCGATCCCAGGACCGTGGGATCATGACCTGAGCTGAAGGCAGACGCTCAACCATCTGAGCCACCCAGGTGCCCTATTTTACAGTTTTTAATTCAGAGCTATTTGCAAATACTTCAGAGTGTTCATGCCATTGATTATTTGCATCCATTGCAGAAAGTTGTGTTTTTATATATAAATCCCAAGAATCTTATACCATAAATATATATGAAAATATATGTCAGACTAGCTTCTATCACATTTATTTTTCTTCTCCTAGAGGAGAAAAGCTCTGTTTCTGTAATTTATTCACACAGCTTAATTTATAAGCTGGTTCATTTTAAGTGGGATCATCTATTGGAGGGTTGAATTTGGAAGCTCTCTCTGAAGACAGGTTTCTCTTCAAAATGCAAACTGATTCAGGTAGTGTTGCCTGGGCTCATCTTCATTTGCTGGAGGTTTTGTGCTTGTTTGCTGTCATGTTTTTTCCACTGTTTGGTCTTTTGACATAGCTTTCTGCCCACCTTCCTTGTTAAAAAATGGCAACACCAAGACCCACCCAGAAGGCTAATTTCTCATCTTGAGCTCAATGACTTGCACTGATCCTAGTGATCTTTGAATCAGCCTGTCTTTTGACCACCTTGGGAGCGATACAGACCACATTTTCCCTACAACTTTCCAATTCTGACAGCATGGCTTGCCTTGGCCAAGGATGGGGTCTGGCTCCCAAAGTAAGCCTCATGCAAATGTAAGCTTAACAGATAAGCTGGGGACACAAGGTGTCAGTGAAGAGCCACAACTCTGTGAAACAGAAATTTTGATTCCTATGCTTAGAATGAATAATCTGAGAAAAAGTAAGGATTGCTTTCTATTTTTTTTTTCCATAAAACTACATAAAACTCTCCAACCAAAGTGATCTCATTTTCTTAGGCCCTCTCTCTCTTTTCTTGCTCTATCTCTACCATCTTTAGGATAAAAACTTCTCTATGATTTTTTAAAATCTTTTAGAAAACCAGTAGGGACACCTATTAATCTTGGGCCACAGGAAGGCAGCTTGCAAAGTCCACATTTGTGCCTGGGTTTTCCTTTTGTGTAACTACTATTATTATTATTTTTAAGATTTTATTTATTTATTTGAGACAGAGAGAGAGAGAGAGAGCACAAGTGGGGAGGATGGAGGGAGAGGGAGAGGCAGACTCCCTGCTGAACAGAGAGCCCAATGTGGGGCTCGATCCCAAGACCCTGAGATCATGACCTGAGCTGAAGGCAGACACTTAACCCACTGAGCCACCCAGGCACCCCTCTTCTTGTGTAATTAGGTTGCCAAGTTGTTCTGGAGATATGTACCAGATTCTTTGATAGAGATTTAGTTTGATGTTGCCTCTAAATTTATGTCCTCATTTACAGACCATTTCCTAATGCATATCTCTGGCCCTGTAAGGATACTGGGCATTTATTGATGCAAAGATGGAACAGAGCTCCAAGGAGCTTGAAATTAATCTAGTTTCATTGGTCACCTTTACATTTGAGAAGCAGAGGCCCAGAGACATTAAGTGACCTGCACAAGGTCTCACAGCAAGGAAGTGAGTGACCAAATCCAGATCCTCCCTCTGCAGCCTGTGGTCTTTCACCACTAAAGGCAGCTGTTCACAGCTAATTTATACATCTTATTTTCTCCAGGCTTTTCTTGTCTGTTTCTGTGCTAAAACACGACTTTCTCTTTCTTCCAATTTGCTTTCTAGCATTTGAGAATCACAGCCCACAGATCTCTTTGACCCTTTTCTCAAACTTCTTAGACCAAAGCTATTCTAGTGTGGAGCCAGTGTTGGCCAGACATTCACAAATAAATGGGTCCCTGGCTACCAGGACACACTCCATCTTTCTTCTCCTCTAATATGCACCCCACACCTCGCCAAGTAAAGTGCTCAGTCTAAGCTAATGTACTCCTTGCTATAAAATGTTACAAGGACACTGTAGAAATTCCTCAGACCAACCAGATCAAATCTCAAGTTAGAGCATGGCCCAGAACAGGACACTAACATGCATGTATATAGAGGAAGTCAGAGCAAAGGCTCTAATGAGATGGAAACAAAATGAGCATGTTATGTTAACTGATTCACAAAATTTATTTAGTTATAAGATAGACAAATTGCCAGGAAGCTGCTTATTTACAAAATGGCTATCCATCTACCCACCCATTTATTCACCTATGCACCCACTGGTCTGTCTGATCTTCTTGCTGCTAGAAAAGATTTGAATAGCAGAGACTAAGGAAACATCAGTGCAGATAAGTGACAGTCTTACTGATGAGGTTATCAAACAAGACAGCAAAATACAAAAATATTAATCTGATAATATTTGTTTTATAAAATTTGGTAGTATATAAACAATGTATTGTTAAATATTGACAACATTTTTTCTCCTATGACTTTGAAAACGATATTATAGCAATCTACTATTTCCTTTTAATCTCGTTTTGTTTCTTAATGTCAAAAGGAAATGATAGAGATTACCCTCATTATTCAAATATGTTTATAAATATTATTAGAAAGAGAGAGAGCTAGGCCTTTTTTTTTCAAGGTTTTGGAAATTACTCTATCACACAAGCCAGAAAAACCCAGTTGCCTCTATTTTCATTCTGACCAAACATAAAATCATAGAAATGTTTTTCCTACTCAGAGGGCAGCTTGAAGGCAAAAAAAGAATTGTCTTTCTGTAAATTAGCCATCACAAGTAATCGTGAAGAAGAAAATACACATCATTCAAAAATTCTTGTGTAAAATAGCAGAAATCTAACAGGGAGAACCACGGCCTCTGCCAATAAAGGGTATTAGAACAGTTTTTTGGATTGTGACAAAAGTAGCCAATCTTTCCCCAAAGTCAGAAACCAAATGACAAGCCCTTACCTTGGAGGGCCTGTAAGCTATGAGTCTGTACGATAATGCAGAGCTGCAGGACCAGCTGTGGAGCACTTTCCAGAAAGGTGGCTAGCAAATGCAGCATACTCACATCTGCATACTCATACACCATTTTCCAGTAAAACCTCCATCTGTCATTCTCCCCACTCTGTCGACTTCGAATACCTAAGTATATTGTGTGGAAATATCTAGAAAGAAAACATGGAGAATAAGAAAGAAATGAGTGATCATTTATAATTCAAACACCAAGGCTGCTTTTCTTTTCTGCAAGCTACGAAAGCCCACAAGAAACAGTTACTTTAGTGGCTCATTAATTTAAGGCCTAAAGATAACTGCTCAACAAGTACCCTTATTCTTTTTTTTTTTTTTTTAGATTTTATTTATTTATTTGACAGAGAGAGACACAGTGAAAGAGGGAACATAAGAAAGGGGAGTGGGAGAGGGAGAAGCAGGCTTCCACCGAGCAGGGAGCCCAGTTCGGGGCTCGATCCAAGGACCCCGGGATCATGACCCGAGCTGAAGGCAGGCGCCTAACGACTGAGCCACCCAGGCGCCCCAAGTACCCTTATTCTTAAATCTTCGCTTTGAGAGGTCCCTGCAACCTTTGGCCTCATTAGAGGCAATCCACTGACTTGAAATATGAAATGTGTTGGAAACTCAGGTGTAGAAGGGATTTGCCACTTTGACAATCTACACACACCCTTCCTGGTTAGTTTCTTTATGTGCTCAGTGGTACTCAGGAGATGGATTTCTCCTAGGGCGCCAGGCAAGTCTGAGGTATTAGAATGCATGTGCTTTCAAACCCTCCTGATGTCTTCTAAAATAAATGTTTTATTATTGAAAATTTCAAATATATACAAAAGGAGAAAAAAATAGTGTATTGAGTCCATTATATGTTTCACCCAGATTAAGTAATTATTGATACATGTATGCAAAATACATTATTTTTTATTTATACCTTCACTTACTCTCTGCCACCAGATAATCTTGAAGCAAATCCCAATCATCATGTTATTTCATCTGTAAGTATTTTATTAAATATAATTGACAAACATAAATGCAATACCATTATTACATTACAAATAAAGATAATTTAATATTATCAAAAATACTCAGTTTTCATATTTTCCTGATGATCATATTTTCCTTAGAGTTTGTTTGAAATACAATCCCAACAAGACCTATATGTGATGATTATTTGATATGTATCTTATGTCTCTTTTAAACCACAATTCTTCTTCCATTTTTTTTTTTTAATTTCCTGCCTATTTTTCACTGTCTTGGTTTTGATGATTGTACACATGTGGTATGGTTAACATATTTGTCCTTTGTGTTTTTGTCAGTTGGGTAGTTACTGTTGATCAGATTCAAGTTTGATCATTTTTAGCAGGTGATGCTGACTACCTTATTGAGGAGACCCTAATGTTTTCCTTTATGAGGCCATCATCCACTAATGATCATTTCCTAGATCCGTTCATTCATTTGGGGTTGTGAAATGGTGATATTCTGAGTCTATCACCCTTTAAAACTTTTTAAAATTTTTTATTTAAATTCCAGTTAGTTAACATACAGTGTTAGTTATACAGTATATTAGTTTTAGGTGTACACACAGTGATTCAACAATTCCATACAACACCCAGTGCTCATCACGACAAGGGTACTCCTTAATCCCCATCACCTATTTAGCCCATCTCCCCACCTACCTCCCCCCCATGGTAACCATCAGTTTATTCTCTATAGTTAAGAGTCCGTTTCTTGGTTTGCTTCTCTCTCTTTTTTTCCCTTTGCTCATTTGTTTTGTTTCTTAAATTCCACGTATGAGTGAAATCATGTGGTTTCTGTCTTTCTCTGATTGACTTATTTTGCTTAGCATAATACTCTCTAGCTCCAACCATGTTGTTGCAAATGGCAAGATTTCATCCTTTTTTATGGCTGAATAATATTCCTATATATATACACACATGCAAATGATATACATATCACATCTTCTTTATCCATTCATCAGGAATGGACACTTAAGCTGTTTCCATAATTTAGCTAGTGTAGATAGTGCTGTTATAAATATTGGGGTACATGTATGCCTTTGGATTAGTATTTCTATATTCTTGAGTAAATATCTAGTAGTGCAGTTGCTGGATCGTAGGGTAGTTCTATTTTTAACTTTTTGAGGAACTGCCATCCTGTTTTCCAGAGTGGGTGCACCAGTTTGCATTCCCACCAACAGTGCAAGAGATTCCCCTTTCTCTGCATTCTTGCCAATACCTGTTGTTTCTTGTGTTGCTGATTTTAGCCATTCTACATGAGTTTATAGTTTTGATTTGCATTTCCCTGATGATGAGTGATGTTGAGAATCATTTCATGTGTCTATTGGACATCTCTTTGTCTTTGGAAAAATGTCTATTCATGCCTTCTGCCCATTTTTAAATTGGATTTTTTGGGCTTTGGGTGTTGACTTTTATAAGTTCTTTATATATTTTGGATACTAACACTTAATCAGATATGTCATTTGCAAATGTCTTCTCCCATTCCATAGGTTGCCTTTTAGTCTTGTTGATGGTTTCCTTCGTTGTGCAAAAGCTTTTTATCTTGATGAAGTCCTCATAGTTTATTTTTGCATTTGTTTCCCTTGCCTCAGGAGATACATCTAGAAGAAGTTGATATGGCTGATGTCAAAGACATTACTGCCTGAGTTCTCCTCTAGGATTTTTATTGTCTCATGCCTCACATTTAGGTCTTTAATCCATTTTGAATTTATTTTTGTGTACGGTGCATGAAAATGGCCCAGTTTCATTCTTTTGCATGCTGCAATCCGGTTTTCCCAACACCATTTGTGGAAGAGACTGTCTTTTTCCCATTGGATAGTCTTTCCTGCTTTGTCAAAGATTAATTGACCATATAGTTGTGGATTTATTTGTGTTTTTTTTTTTTAATTGTGTTCCATGTCTATTTTTGTGCCACTACCATACTGTTTTGATTACTACAGCTTTGTAATATAACTTGAAGTCCGAAATTGTGATGCCTTCAGCTTTGTGTTTCTTTTTCAAGGTTGCTTTGGCTATTCATATCACCCTTTTTTTATTGGCTAGAATACTTCTCCAGCTGTTATGTCAATGACTCTGCAGTATGTTTAGTTGTCTGAACCTTATTCTCTAGTAGATCCCCCTAAGAAAGGTACATAGGGACAATATTCTCTGAGTTCTTGCATATTTATAAGAGCATGCGGTTATCAATCTTGACTTGCATGGGAATAAGTTTCCGTCTATTATGAGGACCCTGAAGTCTCACAATTTTACATGAAAATTGGTGCCCATTTCTAGAGTTGTGAAAGAACTTCACCTACCTGAAGCAAAGGCTTTCTGATACCAAGAGGGGAGGATGGTAGGGATACAGCAATGAAGTACAAAAGCAGAATAGCTGGGGAAACCTTTGCATTGGAGGGTCAGGTTGGATGGCTGTAAAATCCATGCATATTCCATATGAAATCCAAGGTCTGCAATTTATTTAAGTCTATTAAATTTGTTACTTCATTGCTTACTAGCATGAAGTGTTGTCATGGAAGTCTGATAAAAATCTGATATTCTTTCAGTCTTCAAGTCTTCTTTATTTATCGTATTGAATATTTTTTTTGTTTGTTTGTTCCATTACTTTGGTATTCTTCTTTGAGGCCTCCTATTTATTTATGTTGTATCTTCTTTATCTTCCATATCAATCAACTTGCCTGAACGCTTTTGATCTCAAAAGCTTACTGATTCAAATTTTTTCCCTCCTTTATACTATTTGTCTTCTAACTATGGTGTTTGAATGGTATCATACCCCTACTAGTTGAGTTTTCATTTCTCACCTTCTTTTAAAAAAAATTAGAATTCTATATTGGGTTCATCTTTCTTGTCAAATCTTACATTTTTCTATACATTTCTAATTTTTTTCTAATTCTGATTTATATTATTCTTTCATAACTTTTATAATTCTCTTAGTTTCTTTCAACTGATTTTGAAATATTTGCTTATGGTTTTTATCTGTTTTCTTGGTATACTTTCATTATCTGTAAGAACATCATCATTTTTTCTATTCTCTTTTTCTTATAATAGTTTTGATTTTTTTCTCATTGCTAAGTTTAAAAAGAGGGCATTGAATGGAACACTGGATGTTATACACAAACAATGAATCATGGAACACTACATCAAAAACAAATGATGTAATGTATGGTGATTAACATAACATAATAAAATTTTAAAAAATGAGTTAGTTTAGTTTTTATGTAGTTTTATGAGGGGTAAGGGGGCCAGGATGGCTTGGCTGGTGTCATAACTCCAGAGCTCATTCCTCTTTTGTTCTCATGAGTGACAAAAAAGAATATAAGTTGTCAACTTTCTGACACCAGCTGCCTCTGTTCCCCTGCCCCTTCCTTTGAATTTGGACTTTCTTCAGGTCTTGTGGCTGTCCCTGTCCTGCTTAACTTGGAATCTATTCCCAGCAGATTCTCTTCAATGTAGAGCCTTTTCTTGGAAGGGTCTTCACTCTGTGTGTAATGAGACTGCTCCAATAGCATCAGATGTTATTTCATTACAGTCGCTGTGGACTTGTCCTTGCACTGGATCATTGAGAACACATTTCTAGGTCCTTCTAGATGTGTAAGATTGACCCACTGCACTTTCCAGTGAGTGGCTGTTGGGGATTTGGGGATTCTTCTGTTCTCAAGGGCTTCCCTCTGCCTCTTCCTGCACAGTTGCCAACATCACATGGCTCTTAAGAGCCGTGCCTAATTTGTCCCTTGGTAATTATGGGGGTATCTCAGCACTGAGCTTTATTTGCAAGTATTATTCATGATCCTTCAGTTTTGCTCTGCCTATTTTAATGGGATCATTTTGGTAACTTCAAAAACTATGCTGCCACTGCCATTGTATTTACAGAATAGGAGCATTTTAAAACAAACAAACAAAAAAACGTGTTTAATCATTCCCTTGGGCCTTGGATTGCTCTCTATCAATTATAAGATGAAATTTGTAGAGTGCTGTTTACAGGAACTTTCATGAACAGATCACCGTGTTCTCACCACTCCACAGCTGCAGCTTATGATCAGCCCAGGGCAAACTGCTGGCACATCCTTTCTTAGACTTCCATGCATTTTCACAAACTCATTTTTTTTCTTGGAATATTTTTCCAGCTTCTTTGACTGGCAAGCTCATTT